ATATATATATAAAATTCATTTTATATATATATATATATATATATAAGATGATAATATTTTCCTCTTCGGGTATTATATATAATCCTCTTACATATCTCCTCAGGTATATATATAATATCTTCGTTGGATATTATATATAATTTTCTCAATACCTAACAATATCATGTTGCCAAAACCAAAGCTGACTAGGAAGAATTAAAAATAAAAAATAACACTCAGTAATAATAATACAGGCTAACACCGACAAATGTTATCAAAATAATTAAAATCAAGCCCTGTCTTATACTTACTACTAAAGATTCAGTCTCACACATACAAAAAAAAGTCACATTAAGTCAGTGAAATATCGGGTGTTATTTTATGCTGATTTTAAATGTGGTGCATGAAATGAAAAGAGTACAGACCTGTCGATTTCGCTGGTCGAGAATCCGAGAGATCTGAATTTTCTTCCTCCCCATTATGCTTTCACTAAGTCAACAAGACGACAGAGGGAGAAATGTAACAAGTTAGTATATGAATTTATTTGAAATACATTATAATATTCATTTCATTTTAAAAATACAGCAAAATATTGTAAAGTTCTATATATATGTATAGTTAAAGACAGAATCATTAGCCCTCCTGAATTATTAGCTTCCCTGTATATTTCTATCTCCAATTTCCGTTTAACAGAAGATTTTTTCAACATATTTCTAAACATTATAGCTTTAATAACATAGTTATTATATCTTATAGTTATTATATAATTATAGTTATAGTATCTTTGCCATGATGACAGTAAATAACATTTTACTAGATATATTTCAAGATGCAAGTATTCAGCTTAAAGTGCAAGTTCATGTCCGTAGACAGCCTATTTTTTTTCTTAAAAAGCACACCTCTTTACAATCATTCCCTTCATTTTCTATTAAATTATGAGGTTCAAATACTGCACTCTAGTGATATTTTAAGCACAAAATTTAGCTTAACAGAAATATTTCCTCCATTTTTGTCAAAGTGCTTACCATGCTATTTTATGTTTACAAAAAATGTGTTTATGTAAAAATGTGCATAACGCTATTACAGTTTTATAAATAATGCAATGAGTTTACAATTTTAAATGTAAATATATGAACAAAGTATAAAAAAAATACTTTTTTTTAAAATGCTTATTTATTCTCATCCATCATTAAAAAAACAATTAGAAATCTGGTAAAACTTTTAAATTATAAACAAGGCTATATGCAAATAACAAAATAGTCAGCTCAATTAATCAGTCATTATTTGTCCATTTTAATAATAGTTAATAATTAAATTAGTCTTAAAGCCTTCTTTTATTGGTTATTTTCACAATTTATGTAAAAAATGGGACAAATGAGCTCATATGGGCCAAATTCTGGACTTTATCAGTAGTCTTTTGAACAACCCATATGACCCCGCGGCTACAGGCCTCAATTTAAATGCTTAACTACACAGTAAAACAAATCTGTTATATTAAGTTTTTTTTCCCAGCAGATGGGGTGCCGGAAAAAAAAAGTAAAATAACAACTGTTAAGTTACAGAATTTTACTGTAAAATAATAAGCGTTTAATTACAGAAATATATCGTAAAATAATGGCCGTTATATTACAAAAATTTACCTGAAATTTACATTTAATGAAATTTCTGTAGTTTAACGTCCTTATTTTACGTTAAAATTACAGATTTTCTTACAGTGTAGGTTAATTAGGCAAGTTAGGGTTATTAGGCAAGTCATTGTATAATGATGGTTTGTTCTGTAGACAATCGAAAAAAAAAATACTGCTTAAGGTGGCTATAATATTGACCTAAAAACAGTTTAAAAAATAAAAACAAATAAGACTTTCTCCAGAAGAAAAAAATGTTATAGGAAACACTATGAAAAAATCCTTGCTCTGTTCAACATCATTTGGGAAATATTTGAAAAAATAAAAATAAAAAATTCACAAGAGGGCTAATAATTTTGACTTCAACTGTATACACAGTACATGCATGCAGATGTGTGTACAAAACAATTCATTATGTCTTCAATGGCACTCATTGCCACTCATTTACTGCTCTTAAAAACACAGTGGGTCACTGCTTATATGCAGTGTGTTCAGCCAATACCAACTTCCCAACCATGGCTTACGGATGTTTGTGTACTTTTACCCTCTAGAGGGTAAACTGGGAGTAAAGTTAGCCTTGGTGCACAAGCTAACACCCCCGCAGTCTGGGTTATCCCAGCAAAAGCATGAGCATTTCCATGGGGCACGGGTTAAAAATATGTCATCTCCATTTAAAGGTAAAGTTTGCATTAGCGTCACTACCACACATAAAATAATAGTGCGTTTCAATGAAGGGAAAGTTCCTGTCCACCCCCTGTTCTCCCATACCAGCAGATGATTTTAGGGATTGAGGGTTATCGTGCATTGGAAACTATAAAGTTTTAACCAGTTGGAGAACATGGGTGGTGTATTTAACAGCTATTTGTGGCAGCCTCAATTGCATTTTCACGAACTCTTTAATTTAATCTAAAATAATCTACACTGTTAATTACTGTTTTGTAAATTACACAGTATTTAACTGTAAAATGAGCTGAATTTTACAGTAGGACAGACATGCAGTATGTTACTATATATTTTAAAGTTGCATAGTTAAAATGATAATATATTTTACAGTAAAAATATATTATACCCGAAATACATATACAGCAAGATAAATGGAGCTGTACGTGAATACAGTATTTTTGCTGTAATTGATTTATAATACGTTACTGGCAAACTGCTGCCAGTAAGTTACTATAGATATTAAAAATTATTAACAGTGGAAAAATGTTCTACTTTGCTACTTTCAAGCTCATTTGCTGGCAAAGAGACACTAGAATAACTATTTAAAACTAATAAAGATTTTCCATTACAGTATTATTATTGTTATATTATTATAACAAAATATCTTTATGTATTTTAAGAAGAAAAAGGCTCAAATGATGAACCAATTTATTTGCAAAATATTATAATAGCTATTTGTGAAGCTAGCTTGTGAAAAAATAAATAAACATTTTGCTTAGTTAAAGCAAATTTGCAAAGCTGAATTTGTCCACATTAAGGTTAATATGACATTAAAATAAAATCTACAGCCCAAAAGACATGGTATTAACTTAGATTTAGTTTGCCAGCATCTAAGGACAAGGTTATTTTGATGCCTAATAATGATGTGAAACGACGTTTATATTTTTTTATTTTAGGTTGTGCTGGAAAGTGACCAAAATCCAACGTCGAGCCAACATCTTAAACTAACATCATATAGATGTCAAATACTGACATTTATTTGCCAGATATGGCACCTAAATCCAAACATCTGATAGATGTCATAGTGATAACTACTACCAAACAACATCAGGCTTTAACATCATTAGACATTGATATTTGGTTGATTTTAGGTTGCATTGGAATACGACAAAATACGACATCTGTCCGACGTTGGACATTGACACTGACCTGACGTTGGGTTTTGTCGTCAACCTGGTTTTCATTTCCAAACAAAATGCAATGTCCCACAACATTGGGGTATCTAAACAAGAATAATACATCATCGAATGATATTTTTTAAGCTAACTGCGAACAGCTAATGTTTTAAGTTACATATTATAGCAAAAAAAATGGCACTTTAAAATTTGGAAAAACCTGCTTGGGACTTTTAAATATTTATTTCGGTACTTTCATCTAAAACAGAATATTATGTAGAAGCCAGGGCTTTTGTGCATCATACCCTAGTAGCAAACTAACAGTAAGATGAATGTGGTTAAGAACATTGTGGCTGAAGCTATCAAATTGACATCAACAGAAAAGTAAACGTGGAAGCAAATGGTCAGACTATGATTGAAGATTACCCAAACATGCGTTTCTTTTTTTCAGTGCATTAACTTAATATTAACACAAATTAATTGTTCTCCTAAAGAAAAACAATGTGCGCTAACAATCTTTGATTTCACACAGACTTTATTGATGATCATCAGTGTCTAACAGTCTACCTTACCCCTGTTGTTAATATAGCAGCTAACTGCTGAGGCAAAAGCTCAAAGACTTCAGAAATGCTTTTTATTTTCTCTCATATCAGGCATGTGTGACCTCATCTATTTTTAAAATCTTAAAGCCAATGGTTTACAGAGAGAGCGACACTGTTCCCACGATCCACGAGTGCCCGTTGACCTCACACCCACCCCTTGGCACACAGACGGACAAGTGGAGGATTCCATGTTTGTGCCATTTTAACCATATAAAGTGAATTGCAGTCTGATATTCTCCATGCACACACACACACACACACACACACCTGAAGGCTTTGACAGGTGGCCTGTATTAGGGTCAGAATGTTGGTCATGAGATATAAATGCAATGCGAGGAAGTGAGAAGCATTTGTGACAAGATCTCTATCATCAAACTATGTGTTGGGCTAAGTTCCTCAAATTTGTGAATACATGACTTTTGTTCACAAAAGCAACATTATAATTTTTTTTTTGCTGTTTTTGACTTGGGGGCCTTTTTAAGTAAACTGATTTGCAATAGAACTGCAGACAGAATTATTATGCCCAACATACTCTCATGGCTGATCGTAACTGTTTGAACATTAGTTAAAATTAGCATGGCTGCATGAAAAGTTATTTTTAAGTGAGGATCTTAATGCTATTCATTTTTGTATGAATTAAAAATGACCAGTTTATACACACAAACTACAAAATGACAAAGTACGTTGTAAAATTGTTTTCTTGATGAGTGGGTATGGTGTATATATGTATCTTTATTGTATTGCACTGAATTTTTAAGAATTCATAATGCAAGTTTAAGCTAATGTCAAATGTTTCGCTTAAATAATATGTTTAAAATTCGTAAAAATTGTGTACAAAATTCCTCAGTTGAATGTTTTTACTGCTGACTGAAAAGATATGAGCTAAATAATGCAAATTAACAGAAGTTGCCTTTGCAAGCAAAGCTTTATTCTAAAATCATATGTATTGTGCCTTACATTTACTTGTGTTAAATGTAAAGCTCGGATGTAAAGGTTATATTTGTGCAATGTATATGGTGATGTAGAAATTTTATATACGTATAAATGTATATCTAAATAAATATTAATTCATATTTTATAACTTTAGAGAAAATTCTTATTTATCATGTAACTATATATTATATAATTAAATGTATAATGTAAAAATGATATGAATAATTAACTCTACATTTCTACGTTTTCTTATATTTATCACAATATATAAGTTTATAGTACTTTATATAAGTTTATAGTTCTATATATATATGTTTAAATGTATAGTTTTTTAAAAAAAAAGAAAAAAGCTTTTGATTTTTAAATGGCGTCAAATGTCGTGTAGGCTTTTATTGTTTTTTACATCAGAGCGACCGCATCAAAATATAAAAGTCACTATAAAAATAAAAAGTCATTCAGTAATTCACGCACTGGGCACAGAACTTCAGTGCCAGTGTAACTTTAGCATGTAACCGAAGTAACTTTAGCTATTTTCCATTTTAGTAAAGTGCAAATTATCTTAATAGCGCCTTCTGAACCCACATTGACTACTTCCCATACATAAATAATCCACATTTGTAATTTTTCTTATATATATAGTACTTATTTAAATGTATATTTTATCACCAAAGTGTAAAAGATCATTTATAATGTAACTATGTTTTATGTAATCTAATAATATATAGTGTGCATTTTTTCACACTGGGGTGGATAGTATGAAGAAAATAAAAAAACACAAACACGCGCACACACAAACACACACACATACAGTTGAAGTCAGAATTATTAGCCCCCTTTTGAATTGTGTTTTCATTAATAAATATTTTCTAAATGATGTTTAACAGAGCAGGGAAATTTTCACAGTATGCCTGATAATAATTTTTCTTCTGGAAAAAGTCTTATTTGTTTTATTTCGGTTATAATAAAAGCAGTTTTTTTTTATCTTCTATGAACCATTTAAGGACAAAACTATTAGCCCCTTTAAGCTAATTTTTTTTTTTTTTGATAGTCTACAGAACAAACCATCATTATGCAATAACTTGCCTAATTACCCTAACCTGCCTAGTAAACCTAATTAGTTAAGCCTTTAAATGTCACTTTAAGCTGTATAGTAGTGTCTTGAAAAATATCTTGTCAAATATTATTTACTGTCATCATGGCAAAAATATAATAAATCAGTTATTAAAACTATTATTTTTAGAAATGTGTTGAAAAACTCTTCTCTCCGTTTAACAGAAATTGGGGGGAAAAATAAACAGGGGGGCTAATAATTCTGACTTCAATTGTATGTGTATATATATATATATATATATATATATATATATATATATATATATATATATATATATATACATACATACATACATATAGTGCTCAGCATAAATGAGTACACCTCATTTTGAAAAAGAATAATTTGGATGCGTCTGGTGCATCTGAACAAAACTTATTTATAAAACAGCTATATTCAATAAAATAATAGTTTGGTCACATAATATCTTTTGAAATTGAAATATAACACATTTAAATTTAAATGAAATATTGCAAAATAAATACAAACTACAAAATTTCATTTTCATTAAACATTTTATATTTTTCTTTTCTTTTTTTTTACATTTTATTTAATATTTTGCATTTATTTTAATATTTTTATACATTTGAGTGTACTGATTTATGGACTGTAATCGTTAAATTATTTTGTTAGATTAGCTCCAGATTTTATGAGACATGGCAACCTTTCACTGATCTATATAAAGACATTTGTGTAAACAGGTTTAAATGTGATCACTAATATTGTTTGACTCCAAGCGTATGTAGAATACCACTATAAACATGTCAGATTATTCATTTGTATTCTCATGGTATTAATTTATTTGAACTCTTTTTACAACTGATATTGTCTAACTGCAAATGGATGCAATACTGTATTTTTTTTTCGCTGTGTTGTAGTTAAATTTTTATTTGAATTAACTTTCTATTTAACTTTCTAAATTAACTATTATTGAAAAAATACAACCTTATTTGTACAAAATGTTTTGTTAAATTTTAAAGGGAAAAAAAGATTAGCTCCAGATTTGGCTTCAGTACTGACTAATGTATGTAAAGAAATATATTATTGTAAACCATCCTATAGAAAATGATAATTGAAAAGATAGATTGTCAGGAGTGTACATATATATATATATATATATATATATATATATATATATATATATATATATATATATATATATATATATATATATATATTTTTTTTTTTTTTTTTTTTCCAATTTCTGTTTAACGGAGAGAAGGTTTTGTCAACACATTTCTAAGCATAACAGTTTTAATAACTTATTTCTAATAACTCATTTATTTTATTTTTGCCATGATGACAGTGAATAATAGTTGACTAGATATTTTTCAAGACACTTCTATATTGCTTAAAGTTACATTTAGGTTAATTGGGTTAACTAGGCAGGTTAGGGTAATTAGGCAAGTTATTGTATAACAATGGTTTGTTTTGTAGATTATCGAGACAAAAAAAAAGCTAAAAGAGGCTAATTATTTTGACCTTAAAATGGATTTTTAAAAATTAAAAACTGCTTTTATTTTAGCCAAAATAAAACTTTCTCCAGAAGAAAAAATATAATAGGAAATACTGTGAAAATTTCCTTGCTCTGTTAAACATAATTTGGGAAATAGGAAAAAAAAAGAAAACAAAATTTAAAGGGGAACTAATAATTCTGACTTCAACTGTATATATTTTATGACACTTATTTATATATTCACTTGATTTGTCCTCTTTTTTAAATAAAAAAAAAAAAAATTCCCAAACATATTCTGTAAGGTGCACTCATTTATGCCGGCAGGCACATTGCTGCATATCGCAGGTCTCAAAACAAAACCAAGATTTTTAATTATATTAAAGAATGTTAAATTGTGACAAAATCTGTATTGCTTAATTTACAATTTTGCATCCACCAAAAATCCTTCCTTGACGCCTAATCGTTTCAGCTCCAATAAAAAAAATAAACATTTTAAAAAACATTTAAAACATGATAGTACACAATCGTGCAACTATTGCATCTCTGGATCATGTCTGCCCTCTGTGTGCATTCAGCTTCCTGTGCGATTCTCCCAGAGGCCAGACAGTGGAAAAGAATACACGCAAACAGTGGCAGTGTTGCGCTGACGTTCTCCCACAGAGATGCCCTCGCTCGAGGGCCCAGAGGAGAGTAATTGCCGGGTTCCTCATGGGGGCCAAACCATCAGAACTCCAACAACAAACACCTTTGTAGAGACCAGTCCAGGGAAGGAAAATAAATGAGCTTCAAAACACTACAGCAAATAATTACTCGCTAATGGATGTCAAAGCGGTTTCAAAACCATATGCAACTGGCACCTGTAGCTGCAGACGCTTCAGCTGTTGGTGGCTGAAGCTAATGGTTGGTTTTGCGAATGTATCGGTGGGATGAGAAACCTCTGTGCGCCAAAAATAGCAAGTAAGAGTAGTATTTGCATTCCAAGCGACAAGAGTAAACGCTCTAAGGAGTTCAAGAAGCAAAAGAAAAGATGGATAGGCATTTTTTTAAAGAGGCTGAGGAACAGCATTTTTGCTTGTGTTGTTATTATAAAGTAGCCTGGAGTAAATGCATTTTCAAGGTATGACTGGATGTTTGGTTTCAGTATTTTGCAAAATGCAGCAAAGTCCCAGGGGTTTTAAATGAACTTTCAGGTGCAAATACACATATATAAAGTGTTCTGTGGAGGATTTTATACTTTGCTTGACCTTTGTAGACCTCTTGAGTGGCAACGCATGTGACTGTAATGTTCTGGATTGAGTGTCTGATATCATCATAGTGAAACAACATGAAAACTGCAAGCCTACACCAATACAAAAAAAGCTGCTATGACACTTCTTGTAATAAAAAAAAAAGTATTTTGCATTAGATTCTCACATTCTCAAGGTAACACACTGATGGTGACTGGATAACAACCAGTGAGCTGATAAAAGGCTTTTTGTGGTTTTATTTTTATGATTTATTGCTAATTATAATCAAGTATAATATGACTATAATATTATACTCTATTCATTTCTGACAAATAGGCACACAGTCCCAAAAATATTATTTTTATATATTTTTTATGAAGTCACTATTTTGTAGCTAGTTGATTGAGATTATGCAAGTACTGTCCACGGTGATTATAAATACAGCATTATTAGGTCTATCAGTTCAAATATGTCTTCTGTCTAAAACCCAAAACTCTAGCTTAAAACTGTAAACATAGGCTAGGTCCCTTGACTTAACAGTGATTTTACTGCATATAAACCAAAATGCACTACCACACATTCCCATGCATTAGCTACACTATCATAGTTTAACCACGGTAGGCTATTTGTATTAAAACGGCGGTTATACAAATGCTAATCTCCCCACAAGCCATGGTAACTGCCGTTACCATTCTTAAACTGTAATGAAACCAATGTTACTTTTCTTACGATCGATTAAAACATATCCTTACCTGGTTTTGACAGTTAACCAGTCGGCTGAGTTAAAAACACTGTCACGAGACTCGCTGAATGAGTTGAACTGAGGAGTTTCTTGACTTCACATCACCTGATGGTCGCGGCGCGGCTTTTACAACAGCGCATCTCCAGCTGTTCATACTGTAGCAGCATCAGTGCATCAAACCCCGCCTCCTCTACGTTTCCATTGGCTGAAAAGACGCCAATCATTTCCAGCTGTTCGCCGAAGTAGTGTACCTATTGGTTGAAAGAGACGTCTATCATCTTCATCTTCGCAACAGCACACTCCTACTTTTGAGTTTTATTGGCTTCAAAAGACGATCCTTTTCTCTTATTCACTACATAAAAGCGTCCTCTGATACTCCAATATTTTGTGTGCGCGCGTACAAGGGTTAGAGTTTAATGATGTCATTAAAGTAAATTAGAGAAATGAGGGATTTAGCTAGCTCTCTGAGCATATTACTCACCATAAAACGGCCGTATTGAAGCCATCAAGCCACATTTAGTCACCTATTAAAATTAATTACGAGACGATGATATTAATCCAGGAATAACTGAAGAAGTGCCCACATTTCGAGTTACAAAGGTAAACGTATAAAAATATGACGAACAAAAACGTATAAAAATATGAAAATATTAGGCCTATATTTATATAATACTGCTTGGCTATGTAGATATAAGAAATAGCCTAGATCCAAAATTCATATGTTTTATTTATTTATTTATTTATTTATTTATTTATTTATTTATTTATTTATTTATTTATTTATTCATCTATTTATTTATTTACTTATTTATTTCTTTATTTATATAGTTATTTTTTTATTTCTAATATATATATATATATATATATATATATATATATATATATATATATATATACACACACACACACACACACACACACACACACACACACACACACACACACACACACACATATTTAGAAATTAAAAAAAAATTAATGGTGGCCAAAAACTCATCTTGATTTAGTTAGATATTGCATCCAATTAAAAAGTTAGTTTTGAAAATTTAAGTGTGTGCACTGTTATTATGTATATTAAAACAGGTACATGGATGCATATGTTTGAGAGAGAGAAAAAAAAAAAAAAATATATATATATATATATATATATATATATATATATATATATATATATATATATATATGTGTGTATTACATTTACACATAAAATAGATAATATATATAATATACACACATCAAGGTCAAAACAAACTTTTATTTTGGATGCAACTATTTGTGAATAAACTTTGCCCAGCACTACTATAATTCTACAGCTATAATACTATTTCTATTCATTCATTCATTTTCTTTTCAGTTTAGTCCCTTTATTAATCCGGGGTCGCCACAGCAGAATGAACCACCAACTTATCCAGCACGTTTTTACGCAGCGGATGCCCTTCCAGCTGCAACCCATCCCTAGGAAACATCCACACACACTCATTCACACACACGCACTCATACGCTATGGACAACTTAGCCTACCCAATTCACCTTTACCGCATGTAATTTAGGTAGAACATGCAAACTCCACACAGAAATGCAGAGGCTTAGAACCAGCGACCCAGCGACCTTCTTGCTATAAGGCAACAGCACAACCTACTGCGCCACTGTGTCGCCACTATTTCTATTAATATATCATTCTAAAGTTTTGGAAATGCAGCAAACCACAGTGAGAGTCATTATCTACAATTGGCAAAAACAGAAGCAGTGGAGGTCCAGGAGTGGCTTGCAAACAAAATTACCCCTAGACTGCAACGACAACTCATCCAAGGAGTCACTTAAGACCTCACAACAACATCCAAAGAATTGCAGACCTCGCTTAAGGTGTGTGTTCAAGACTCCACTCTAATAAAAGACTTATGACTCACTAAAAAAGAAACTGTACAAAAAACTATTGTTTGATCCAAAGCACACCAGCAAATCCACTTCTGAATGGCTAAAAAGAAAAACTAAATGAAGACTTTGGAGTGGCCTAGTCAAAGTCCTGACCGGAATTCAATTGAGATGTTGTGGCATGACCTTGAAAAAATGGTTAATGCTTGCAATTACCCTCCAAAGTCCCTGAATTACAACAATTCTGCAATGATGAGTGGGCCAAAATCCTCCACAGCACTGTAACAGACTTATTGCAAGTAATCAAAAATGACCTGCAAACAAAATTACCCCTTGACTGCAACAACAACTCATCCAAGGGGTCACAAAAGACCCCATAACAGCATCCAAACAATTGTAGGCCTCACTTGCATTGGTTGATTGTTCATGACTTCACCATAAGAAAGAAACTGCACAAAAAATGATTGATTGATCCGAAGCACACCAGCAAATCCCCTTCTAAATGGCTAAAGAAAAACAAACTTAAGACTATGGAGTGGCCTAGTCAAAGTCCTGACTTGAATGCAATTGAGATGTTGTGGCATGACCTTGAAAAGGTGGTTAATGCTTAAATTTATCTTTCAGTGTGGCTGAATTACAACAATTTTGCAAATATGAGTGGGACAAACTCCTCCACAGCACAGAAACAGACTTATTGCAAGTTATCAAAAATGGCCTGCAAACAAAATTACCCATCCAACTCATCCAAGAGGTCACAAAAGAACATTCAAAGATTTGCAGGCCTCACTTGCATCAGTTGTTTGTTCATGACTCCACTATAACGAAAAAAAAATGCATTTAAAAAAATGATTTAAAGCACACCAGCAAATCCACTCTGAATGGCCGGACTTTGGAGTGGTCTAGTCAAAGTCCTGACCTGAATCCAATTGAGATATTGTGGCATGACCTTGAAAAGGCAGTTCATGCTTGAATATACCCTCCAATGTGGTTAAATTACAACATTTCTGCAAAGATGAGTGGGCCAAAAGCCTCCACAGCACAATAACAGACTCATTGCAAGTAATCAAAAATAAATAAATGTTGCTATCGGTGACCCGACCAGTTATTAGTTTTTTGGCAAACACTTTTGCACACAGGGCTATGCAATTTAGTATTTTTTCCCCTTAATAAAAATAGTAATTTTAAAACTGCATGATGTGTTTAGTTGCGTTATCTTTGAATAATATTTAAATTTGTTTAATGATCTGAAACATTTAAGTGTGAGAAACATGTAAAAACAAACATGAAGGAAACACTATTTTCACACTTCTGTATACGGTTTGTGTGTCTGTGTGTGTGTGTGTGTGTGTGTGTGTGTGTGTGTGTGTGTGTGTGTGTGTGTGTGTACATATTTACATATACAGTATGAAACACATTTTCAGTTTACCTGGATTTGTGTTTAAGTAACATTTTTACTTTATTCTATAAAGGTCTTAAAACAATTCCTCTGAATTTCATACTAAAATTTTTTTTTTTTTCATAACTGAGAATGGCTCTAATACAATATTTAAAAAAAAGTTTAATTTTTTCTTTTAGTTTAGAGAATAAATAAAAAACTAAAACAATTTTATTGTCAAGTGGAGATTTAATTTAGCATAAAATGACAACAAAATGGCATGTTTTGAGATTTGGATTTGTTTTTAAATTGGGAGGAAATGTCACCACACTGTAATAAAATAAAACATTATATAAAAACTTTACATTAAAAATATTAACAATTTAATTACATATTAAATATCTTATTCACTGCACACAAGGAAATCAATTGCAAACATAAAAAAAACATTCAATACTTAAAGGATGTCAAATGCAATGTGCGCTTTATTACATTTTACATCAGATCGACCGCATCAAAATATAAAAGACAATATAAAAATAAAAACTCATTCAGAAATTGATGCACAGAGCACAGATCTTCGTTGCATGTATAATTGCACCATAACAGAAGTAACTTTAGCTAGTTTCCATTTTAGTCGTGCATATGATCTTAATAGCGTCTTCTGAACCCACATTGACTACTTCCCATAAAAAGTGACAATGAGATGCACAAGAGAACTTTACAGAACATGCTGTGAAGAGGCCACCAATATCACTCACTTGTGAACACAGTGGCTTTAGTTCCCCTCAGAGAGTTTGATCTACATGTCATCTGATGCAAGAATTAGCAACCTCATGTCATGCTCCCGAAAGTCCTTCAACATCCCTCCTGCAGGAAGCTCAGGGTATCTGGATTCCCTCTAGTCCGGAGAGAACACATCTAAACACTGATGTGAAAAGACATATTAAATATTGCACAAACATCTCTGTCTAATGTAACATTCATGAGGCATTTTAAGGCTCAGAGCATATTTTTGACATTTTAAATAAAACTAAATTTAGCTATTAAATGGATTGTTCTATCAAAAAAACACATCTGTTTACATTTTTTTTTTTACTAAACACAAAAGATGATTTGAAGAATGTTGGAATCCGGCAACCATTGACATAAAAAAATACAATGAAAGTCAATGGTTACCGGTTTTTAACATTCTTCAAAATATCTTCTTTTAAGCCTAATAAAAAAAAGATTTGTAACCACTTTCTTTTTCTTTTTTTACTGAACACAAAAAAGATGATTTGAAGAATGATGTAATGTGGTGGCTATTGACTTTCATAGAATAAAAAAATACAATGGAAGTCAATGGTTACCAGTTTCCACCATTCTTCAAAATATACTTTTAAGCTTAAAAATATTTGTAACCACTTTTTTTTTCTTACTGAAAACAAAAGAAGATTATTTGAAAAATGTTGGAATCCGGCAGCCAATGATTTCTACAGTATGAAAAAAATACAATGGAAGTCAATGATTACTGGTTTCCAATACTCTTCAAAATATCTACTCATTCATTCATTTATTCATTCATTGTCCTTTTGCCTTAGTTCTTTTTTTAATCTGGGGTCGCCACTGCAGAATGAACCGCCAACTTATCCACCATATATTTTACGCAATGGATGCCCTTTCAGCTGCAACCCATCACTGGGAAATAACCATACACACTCCTTCACTATGAGTACCCAATTCCCTATTACCCAATTCACCTTTACCACATGTTTTTGGACTTGTGGGGGAAACCCATGCCAACACAGGGAAAACATGCAAACTCCACAAAGAAATACCAACTAACCAGCGGGGGCTCAAATCGGCGACCTTCTTGCTATGAGGCGATTGTGCTACCCACTGCGCCGCCGTACTGCCCCAAAAATATCTGATCCAGCATATGTTTTACATAGCGAATGCCCTTCCAGCGGCAAACCACCACTGGGAAACATCCACAAAGACTCATTCACACACATATACTACGGGCAATTTTAGCTCATCCAATTCACCTATATGTCTTTGGACTTGTGGGGGAAATTGGAGCACCCGGAGGGAACCCACATGAACACGGGGAGAACATGCAAACTCCACACAAACATGCCAACTGACCCAACCAAGGCTCAAACCAGCAACCTTCTTGCTGTGAGACGAACGTGCTACCGACACCATCACAGCGTCGCCCCTTCTTTATTTTTAATGAGCACAAAAAAGATGATTTGAAGAATGTTGGAATCCGGAAGCCATTGACTTCTAAATTTGAAAAAAAAAAAAAATACAATAAAGTCAATGGTTACCAGTTTCCAACATTATTCAAAATATCTATTTTTATGCTTAAAAAAGATTTGTAACCATATTCTTTTTTTTACTGAACACAAAAATTATGATTTGAAGAATGTTGGAATGTGGCAGCCATTGACTTTCATAGAATGAAGTCAATGGTTTTCGGTTTTCAACATTCTTCAATATATCTACTTTAAATCTTAAATAAAAGATTTGTGACCACTTTATTTCTTTTTTTTTTTACTGAACACAAAAGAAGATGATTTAAGGAATGTTGGAATTTGGCAGCCATTGACTTCTATAGTTTGACGTAAATACAATAGAAGTCAATGGTTGCCAGTTTCCAACATTCTTCAAAATATCTACTTTTAAGCTTAAATAAAATTAAGATTTGTAACCACTTTCTTGTTTTTACTGAACACAAAAGCAGATGATTTGTAGAATGTTGGAATGTGGCAGCCACTTACTTTCATAGAATGAAAAAAAATAAAATACAATGGAAGTCAATGATTACCAGTTTCCAACATTCTTTAAAACATCTACCTTGAAGCTTAAATAACATTAAGATTTGTAACCACTTGAAATTGAGTAAATCGTTGCCACTTTTTTATTTTAGAATAAACTGAATATTTAATTAATTTTTTTGTCTGTGTGTCATGTCAATCACTGTGAATTTTGGAATCCCAAGACTACATTGCACAAAATGTTTTTTTAGATTATTTAGAGTTGTTAAAATGTTCTTTACATTAGGAAAAATGGTTCTGACCCGAACTGTTAACTAAAAATATTTTATTTGGAACCCCTACAGAATTGTAGTGAATCTTTACTTCTTCAGATTATCAAATAATAAAAACATTCCTCATATTTAGATTTAATTATTCTATAGCAAAAAAAAAAAAAAAAAAAAAAAATTTGGGGCATTAATAATGCAGAACCTGTACATTCCTTAAAACTTTCTTCAATCTTAAAAATAAAGGTTATAACTTTTAAAAGGTTTTTATTTTGTTTTTTACAGCGATGCCAAACTGTTTTTGGTTCACACAAGTATGCTTTAGTGAATAGTTCTTAAAGAACCATTAAAACATTTTAAAATCGAAACTTCTTGCACTTTCCCCCCTCTTTAAATAACTTTTTGACATTAGAAGGTTCTGTAGATGCTACAATGTACAATATACTGTGTGTCTAGATGTGTACAAAATGTTAAATTTCTACTAAGATTATACCTTCAATGCTACACAATAAGTGATTATGGTGGAAAAAAGGTACTTCAGATTATTAAAATGTTTTTCACACTAAAGAAATTGATCTGTTTGGAACTGTTCACTGCAGTGTTTGTTATAGACCCCATATGGTATTGTTGCAGAATACAAGTTTATGTGTTGATCTTTTCCATTCCATAGATATTTCTTTATGCAAAGCTTCACATTAAGACATAAAATGGTTCTTTTAGAAAATGAAATTTTTTTTTAAAAGTTTGATTAAAAGGTTATCTGGGACATTACTATATTAAAAATGTATTTTTAATAAATTGGATTCCATGGAAGGTTCTTTAATGTTAGAAAATAGTTTTTTTAAGTATTAATATATCTATTTGTTTTTAGAAGTTAATGGTTTCACATCAAATAAAGGAAACTCTGGAAAGTGTCAACTTTTTTTTCCTGAAACCTCTCACTTCTGCTTTTGACAACATCAGTGGCCTGAAGTTTTTGTGCATGTGGTGAGTCTCTCGAATTCAGAAATAGCCTTTCTGGTCAGTGTTCATGTTCAGGCAATTCTTCAGACGATGTTTTTTATAGTGTCAGGCTTATCGCGTTAAGCACAGCAGCAGACCTTGAGTTCTCATCAGCCCATTTTGAGCAAAAAAACCCCACCTGCGCATTCAGGGTCAAGGTAACATGCAATGTTTTACCCTCATGCAACTGTTTAAACAAAATGCATGTGACAGTAGATATATACATGCCAAATTGTATATCATATTCATAAAGAATGTTACTCATAAAGGCCTGCTCCCTACAAAGTTTTTTTTTTCTTTCAATCAGGATAATCTTCATATAAAGACAATTCAAAGCAATTTAAAAGCACTCGTTCTCAGAAATCAGAGCCTATGAATGACTGTAATGTGGCCTATTTTTCAAATAGCTTTCCATTGCCTTTATAAAGCGTTCTCTGGAGTGCAAAGCTCGTCTCTAAGGCAACCGAAAAGCTAAGCTTTATTAGTTTTAAAAAGGAGCAACTGCTGCCCCTATTTCCAAAAGACATTTTAAAGGCAGCAGAGTCACCGGGGTTCATGTCCTTTATCCTATATTCCTCTCTGACACTGGTATATACGCCTTTCCAACCCGACAAACTGCTCTTGTTTAGTTATTTTGCACTATACATCACCATTGTGGATCCTAAATTATGAAAATATACTATGTTATGCAAACTGTACTATTCTAAGTTCTTTCTTTCTTTCTTTCGCATTATAACCAGTGCCGATTTTATGTAATATTTGAAGAGTTAAGATGCAAAAACCTTTAAATACCATATGAAATTTTCCTCTAAAATGAACATTTTTATCAGGCTCTGTTGGTTCAGTAATTTTCCTTTTGTGGTCATTGTCATGGTCTTTAAAGTGATACCACAACATAAACAAAGGAGGCTAAGAAAATTTTTCATTTGTAATGGAATTGTCAGACCGTTTTTGCATTTGAACTCTTCATATATAACTATTTTTGTCCTGCTTATTATATTTCAAACAAAAATGGTTTTATTTTTATTTTAATTGTTTAATTGAATAGTCAAAGTTTTTTTTAAATAAATCTAGAAATAGCTATAAGTTCATTCATATTGGTTAAAGTTAACAGAATTTTAGAATCCACCATATAGAAATAAATGTACGTTGTTTCATGAAGTTATATTTTATTTATTAGTATTATATTTAACACACATTTTTGTATGTGATTATGTAGGCTGTTGCATATGCCTACACTGTTAAACATTATATAACCAATTAGTCATGACAGCATGTTTTAAGGTCATTGTAACTTATTAAACCAAGTAAATCATGTTCTAACTTAATTTTATAAGTTACACAAGCTGTTTTAAGTCAGTTTAACATAATATGAGTTCAATGCACTCACAAGGTTAATTTGATTTAGCTAAAAAATAAGGCAACCAGAATTTTTTTACAGTGTACATAAAATAAAACAATTATAAACGTTTGTCAGTCATAAGTTACATGATGATAATGTTTTAAAAATTGTTAAAGTATTTTAATACGTGATAATTAATAACATAGTCGTTAAAATAAATTAACAACAACAACAACATAGTAATAAACAGGCTGTACACCTGTTGCATGCACTAACTAAAAGAACATGCTTGTCATAGTCAAGCACATTCCCTGAGAGAGAACTTCTATCAATTCAATAGCCAAACAAGTCTAGGACGAGTAAGCTGCTGCTTATGTAAATAAAAATCCAAATAAAAAGCCCATTGTTGCATGAAAAAGTTTTTAATCTGGGGATTTAAAGTGGATCACATGCCCAGCCTGAACAACAGCGGCACGAGAGCACGCGCATTCCAGAGCAGCGTCTCGCGCATCGCTGCTTTTCCCTGAAAACTGGGGAAAATATAGATTTTTGATGGACTATTGCGGATTTCGCCCTTTGTTTATATAGTAAAACGGACACTTGTTCACTGTCGGACATGACGCATTCCTACAGTCAGCGTTCTCTCGTGATACTCGCGTTTTTAGGGATTTTGTCTTCGATAATGGCCGTGTTATCCGTCATTTTGATCTTCCAGCTCCAAACTCAACAGGCTGTTATCAAAGATTCGCCAACTTTCGTGCCAAAAGACATCACTGCGGTGTTACTGCCTGTTTCCACGGTCCTCTCAGCCTTGTCTCTGACTCTAAACTTGAGCTCAGTTGTTGTTTGTTTGCTCCACAGCTATTTTGCTACTGAAATATGCCGAGGAGAACCAGATACGCAAAGGTAATCGATTACAATGCTTGTGTAGACATCTAATATGCAAATAACGTTAAACTAGACGTGGAACGTCGAACAAATAAGTGTAACTTTTATATGAAAGGACGCCTTTCAAAGCCAAAACAATCCCCAAAAGTGTTATGACTGGACGACTGGTTAGTCACATTTACTATGGACACATCACAGTGGTGTTACCTTAAAAGTAATTGAATTGCATCTAATAAAAATTACCTTAAATGTTCTTTATTAGCATTGATGTCTTAATGAAAAATCTTGTAACATTCATTCAACCTTTGCATTCCACAAAAGGTCTTTAGATATTAGATAGGGGGAAAAGGTTATTTGAAGAATTTTTTACTCACATATACTTTAGGGAACCGAAAAAGGGCATAATTTCAGCCTCTTGCTTGTACCTTTAATAAATTCAGGAAATTTTCTTATTAAGGAATGTAAAGTGGCTCAAGTTTTCAAATATATTTTGGTGCCACTGTATTTAACATAACTGATATTTAGTGGATTTTAAAATTCCTCATTGAGCGTTGGGAAACAGAACAGCATGACTCATTGTTTCAGGTGGTCTTACAATTCTTGCGTGATTTTGAAATATGTCAATTTGTTTTGCAAATTTAGGCCCTGCTGTAAGTTCATCCTCACTTTTTCTTTATATCCTAAGGGCCGATTGGTTTCTGATGGATAGCAGGGCCGTCCGGCATGTCACCATCGGCCTGTTTTGCCTAGGAGTTTCAGTTTATTTAGCTGGTAAGTACTCAGTCCAACACCGAAACCACACAATGACACTAAATGTGCTTAAAACCTTTAATTATATTTACAATATACACATTTATAGTGTTACACCATCCTTATGTAGATTCACAATGCAAACATATTAACAAACTGTAACAAAACACCCAAACCAGCTTATAAAATATTGATCCTTACATCTTTTACATCAGATGTCATCTTTTTCACTTTTGTATCACTGGAAGCCCATTTAGTAATCAAAGTCAAAAAGTAAAAGTCATTGAGATTTCATATCCAAATTGTCATTTTATATGTCACTTTATTACCTACGATTTTGATATCTTCCTTGCAGCTGGAAATGTATATTATTAATAGCATTTTGTTACATTATACCTGATAACATTTTCCTTGAATTTACAACTTTACAGTTGTTGATTGTAACATTAACTCTTACGATGCGACTTTAAATGCTGCAGTTGCCATTTTTAAATCTGAGAATGTGGCACTTTTTATATTTTGTCAAATACAATTTTGCAGTTACATTTTTTTCATTTGCAGCAGCAACTTTATATCTTCGATTTGAGATTGTAAATCTTAGTGTGACTTCATATCTCCTAAGTTGACACTGTTAGTGATGCATTACATTTTGTATTTGTTATTGTCCTTAAATATGCAAATACATCTATCCCAATTGTAATACATTTAGCATATTTAATACATATTAACATCTGACTTAATATGCAACTTTAATGTAATAAACTTAAATCTCACAATTGTATATTTATATTTTATAAGGTGACTTTGTATCTCATAACACGACACATCCAGTTTCACAACTGCAATATTTTTATTGCAGTAACTTTAAAGTTAGCAATTTGGAATCCCACAGCTGTGACTTAATATTCTTTCATTAATTCATTTTCTTTTCGGCTTAATCCCCCTTATTAATCTGGGGTCGCCACAGCGGAATGAACTGCCAACATAACCAGCATGTTTTACGCAGCGGATGCCCTTCCAGTTGCAACCCATCTCTGGGAAACACATACACTCTCATTCACACATATACACGAAGGACAATTTTAGCTTACCGAATTCACCTGTACCGCATGTCTTTGGACTTATTGGGGAAACTAGAGCACCCAGAGGAAACCCACTCAAACACGGGGAGAACATGCAAACTTCACACAGAAATTTCAGCTGACCCAGCCGAGGCTCAAACCAGCGACCTTCTTGCTGTGAGGCGACAGCACTACCTACAGCACACTGTGTCACCCATATAATATTCTGTGATAGTTAAAATATTACATTAAATGACACTATTTCAATACTGTCCTAGAAAATTGATGTCAAATCTCGCAATTATGATTACATTTCATAAAGTGACTTCATGTAACAATAAGACTGTAAATTTCACGATTATGACATTATATATTAAATAATATAATCCATTTATATGGATACACCTTAAAAAATGGCAATGGTTGCTGATATTAATGTCCTGTTTGTGGCACATTAGTATATGTGAGGGGGCTTGAAAATAACTCATGAAATAATAACGTTAAGTTAAAACCCAAGCACACCATTGTTTTTCTTGTGAAATTCCCAATAAGTTTTATTAAGGTGTGTCCATATAATATAGCCCACCCTGTATAATAAATAATGTGAATTCATGTTATAGTCAGACAAAAAATATATATAATTTTTATTAGACAACAAAATGATTGCCTGGGTGACCAATTTTCTTAGCTCCAGAATCCAACAGGTTAAGGGAGGTTTTCTTTCAGATAAAATGCATGCTTCAGTTGGAGCTCCCCAGGGTTGTGTTTTATCTCTGTTATTATTTACTTTATATACAAATTCTTGTATAAGTTCAATTAAAAACAGATATATGGTAATGGATGCAGATGATATCGCTAGGGTGAGCCTTTTAAATGCAGAGGAGGAAGAACACGCCCTTGTTCTTGACTTTTTTTGACTGGTGTGAAAATTCAAACCTTCCGCTAAACACACCGAAAACACAAAGCAAAAACTCATCCCACAATAATTAACTGGGAACAAATTCAGTTAGTAACAAATTATAAATATTTGGGTGGGATGTATGGACTGATTGTGTAAGGAGAGTTTCAACAGAGAACATACTTCTTAAACAAAATCTTTTAATGTTGACAACACATTGTTGAACATGTTTTACAGTGCATTTATTGAAAGTATTGCAACATTTTGTGCGATCTGTTGGTATGGAAATTCTTCTGAGGCCCTTCTGAGGTCACTGGGGAAGATAACAGCCAGTAAGTTGTTGGGAATAAAACTAAAGAGCATTGATCGTACATATAAAGAAAGAGAACTAAATAAGGCTATCATGATTGTCAATGATGAGAGACATGCTTCATCAAACACCTTCCAAATGTTATGATCAGGTCATCGATATTGCATTACCAGGTGTGTAAGAAATAGGAAAAAGTTATCATTTATACCCCAAGCAATTAAGTTTTTAAATTCCTCCTCTTTCAGTACCAGTTGATGACTAGTAGGAATAGATATTTATTTAGAGTAGGGGTTCCATGTTTTTAAATGATTAAATATATATATATATATATATATATATATATATATATATATATATATATATATGCCAAAATAAAGGACAAATAAAGTTAACCAACTAAAAATCTCACAATTATGACATTAAATATTATGATTTCATGTTACAATGAGACTGTAAATCTCACAATTATGACATTATATTTTAAATAATGTGACTTCATGTTAACATGTTACAATAAATCTCACAAATGTCAAATTTGTTTCATATTTTAATGTCAAAATGACTTTTATTTTGTAATCTTGAGGTGAAAAATGGGCTTCCATACTGTAGACTATCAACCATAAAAGTCAGTGGCACCAAGTGATAATGGCACACAGATTCATCCAGGCTTTCATCAGTGCATATTTTCACATCCCAGAGCTGTGTTTTTCTCCTCCATCCTTATGCATACCATGATCCAAAGCTCTTTTTCTGTGAAAAACAGTACATAAATTGATCATTCACAAGTCATATATTTCTCTTTCCCCCTTCACAGCCATGTCTATTTACATGGTACTGGTGTTTGAAGTGGAAACTGGTATAGCCAGTGTTTGTGTGCTGTCCTCCGGAGTTCTCGTCCTGCTACTTATCATCATTCACTCTTTAATAAGGGCAGCACGTGCAGCCAAACACTACCGCACTGATCATCTCCACACCATGTACCACAACAACCCAGAGCAAATCCGAACGTCCAATCTAAGCATTATGGAAAATCCACGAAGGCAACACAGCTTAGCCAACCTACCAAGCCATTTCATCAACCCCGCTCACATGGAACCCAAATCACAATATTCAACATCCAACGGGCCTCAGGCTCACTCTAGCGATAAAGACGGATGCAGTGGAAGCGGACGAACCCATCGGACACTTTCAACAGAGTCTGGCCTATTTCACGCTCAGGCCAAACCCTGGAACGGGGTGAACAGCGAGATGAGATCGGTGCTCGCTCGTAAAGCCACGATTAAAGATTCAACTTTAGTATGAGTGGTAATGCGTTCACTTTGGTGTCAAGATGCAATATAACGTGCCTGATTTAAAATGATATTCATGTATGTAGAGGCATGCAGCATTATTAGGCAACTAAAACACTTAAAGAAAGTCTGAAATCCATCCTTACAAACTTGATAACAAAAGATAGTGTCACTTTTAATATCATTTGTTTCTTTTTGTATCAAAAGAACCATTTCTGCTTCAAGAGTAAAATACAGTTGAAGTCAGAATTATTATCCACTCTGATTTATTGGCCCCCCTGTTTATGTTTCCCCAATTTCTGTTTAACAGAGAGATTTTTTTAAACACATTTCTAAACATAATAATTTTAATAATTAATCTCTGATAACTGATTTATTTTATCTTTGCCACGATGACAGTAAATTATATTTTACTAGATATTTTTAAGACACTTTTATACAGCTTACAGTGACATTTAAAGGCTTAACCAGGTTAATTAGGTTAACTAGGCAGGTTAGGGTAAATAGGCAATTGTATAATGATGGTTTATTCTGTAGACAATCGGAAAAAAAAATCAGGTTAAAGGGGCTAATAATTTTGTTTTTAAAATGTTTTTTTAAAAATTAAAAACTGCTTTTATTCTAGCCGAAATAAAGACTTTCGCCAGAAAAAAAATATTATCAGAAATACTGTAAAAATTTCCTCGCCCTGTTAAACATCATTTAGGAAATATTTAAAAAAAGAAGTAAATTCAAAGGGGGGCTAATAATTCTGACTTCAACTGTATATTGGTAACACTTCAGTTTCACAATAAGCGAGTGTCTTACTACCTGTTTATTATTAAGATATTGGCTGTTTATTAGCACGTGTACAGTAGACATTCTGTATGATATTATACTACATCTATTATTCTACTCAATTCTTGTTAATAAGGAGCAAATTAGGAGTTTGAGGCAAAAGTCGTAATTAATGGTTTATTAATAGTAAAAAATGTAGCTTAAAATAAAGTGACCAAAACATTTGTAGTTGCAACTAAATTTTTGAATGTCGCAATGTGAGTATCAGTTGTGATATTTCACTCATAACTTTATAATCGCTACGTTTGACTTGACATTCAGAACTTGTGACTTCATTAAATGATGTGATGTTACAATGTTATCTCAAAGCTCCTTATAGCAGTACTTGCTTCACAGCTGCAGATTGATATTTTGTATTTGTGGCTTGTGTGACTAAATCTTGCAATTGTGACTTCATATCTCATAATGTGACATTGTTACATTAAACCTAAAAAGTGCAATATTTTCTTCACAGCATTAATATTTATGACTTTTAATCTTGTAGTTGTGATTTTGCCTCCTACAACAATACATTCAAATTAGCAAGATATTGTTGCAGTTGCAGCTTTATATATTCCAATTGTAACATCAGATTCTCACAATTGACTTTGTTTCCAAATGTAACTGTGTTAAAGTTTGAAATTTAACATCCAGTTAAAAAAGTTACAACTTTAAAACTCACAATTGTCACCAGATGTTACATTACAATGTTACATACATCTTGCAACTCTGATATTTTTCTTACAATTGCAACTTTATCATTTCCAATGATCAGTTTGTACAGTATGTCCCAATTTTTAAGCCCTGAAATACAGTTAAAGTCAGAATTATTAGCTACCCATTTTAATTTCTTTTTCTTTTTTAAATATTTCCCAAATGATGTTTAACAGAGCAAGGAAATGTTCACAGTATGTCTGATAATATTTGTTCTTCTGGAGAAAGTCTTATTTGTTTAATTTTGGCTAGCATAAAAGCAGTTTTTAAATTTAAAAAAAAAACATTTTAAGGTCAAAATTATTAGCCCCTTTAAGCAATTTTCCCCCCCGATAGTCTACAGAACAAACCCTCATTATACTATAACTCGTTCACTTTGGTTGATAATTCTGACTAATAATTCCAACTCTACATCAAATAAACCTAAAACTCAAACTGTTGTAACGTCATATTGAACAAAATTAGGCCAAAAATGAAGTTTGTTACAGCAGTTTGAAATGTATAAATATGAAATATGTCATTTAACTTGCATATAAACAAAGTTGCGCAGCCATAAAGGAGTAAGTTTAAATGATACATTTGAAATTGCCATTTTAAATCTTATTCAATTAAACTTACAAATAAGCTCGTAATTAATAGTTTATTAAAAGTGAAAAGTGTAGCTTAAAATAAAGTGTGACCAAAACATTTTTAGTTGCAACTAATATTTTTAAGTTTTGAATGTCACAATGCGAGTATCAGTTGTGATATTGGAGTACTTGACATTTTGAAATTGTGACTCTTATCGAATTATCTGGTTACAATGTTATTTTAAAGCTCCTAATAGTAATACTTTTCTTTACAGCTTGTGTAACTAAATCTCCAAAGTGACTTCAGGTCTCATAATGTGACATTGTTACATTGAACTTAACAAGTGCAATATTTTCCTCACTGCAGCAATTTAATATTTATCATTTCTGACTTTTTTTTCAATTTGTTATTTTGTCTCCTACAAAGTTACATTCAAGTTAGCAAAAATATTCTTGCAGTTTCAGTTTATATATATATTCCAGTTGAAACATCACATCTTGTAATTGTGACTTTGTTTCCAAATGTAACTTTGTGTTAAAGTGTTACATTAAACATCAAGTTAAAAAATGTTATATTTCCAATTCAGTTGCAACTTCTCATTTCACAAGAACTTCAAACCTCATAATTGCCACCTCATGTTACTGTTACAATACAATGTTACATACATCTTGCAACTCTGATGTTTTTCTTACAATGGCAATTTCTTAATTTCCAATGATCAGTTTGTACAGTACATCCCCTATTCAAGGCCCTGATACACATCTAATAAACCTAAAAATCTAACTTTTGTGATGACATTTTGAACAAACTCAGGCCAAAAATGAACTTTGTTGTGCAATCTGTAATGTATATACAGAGTAATAAAATTAGCTTTTAAACAAAGATACTCAGCCATAAATGAGCAAGTTTAAATGATAAATTTAAAATTGCCATTTTAAATCTCATTTAAATAAACGTACAAATAAACTCGTAATTAATGGTTTATTAATATTGAAATATGTAGCTTAAAATAAAGTGTGACTGAAACATTTGTAGTTGCAACCTATATTTTTAAGTTTTGAATGTCGCAATGTGAGTATCAGTTGTGATATTTTAATCATAACTTTATAATCGCAACGTTTGACTTGACATTTTGAAATTGTGACTTATCAAACTGTCATGTTACAATGTTATTTTAAAGCTCCTAATAGCAATACTTTCTTCACAGCTGCAAATTGACATTTTTTTCTATTTGTGGCTTGTGTGACTAAATCCCACAATTGTGACTTCATACAGTGCTCAGCATAATTGAGTACACTCCATTTTGAAAATGAGTATTTTTATCCATTTCTCAGTGAACATAGCAATGTATTTTGGTGCATTTAAATGAAACGGATTTATTAAACGGATATATTTTAATATTTAATAAAAAATTTATATTCATATTTAGAAACTGAAAGATAATACATTTAAATTCAAGCTAAATATTGCAAAAAAATATATAATAAAATGAAATAAATGCAATGTACAAAATTTCAACTAAATATTTTTCTTCTCTTGATTTCACTCTTTTTCAAATTTGTATATATTTTTCTATAATATATAAATTTGGGTGTAATATATAATATATACATTTTCCACTGTTATCGTAAGTTATTTTGTTAGATAAGCTCCAGATTTGGCTTCAGTACTGACTAATCTAATGTACAGTTGAAATCTAAATTATTAAACCCCCTGAATTATTAGCCCCTTGTTCATTTTTCCCCAATTTCTGTTTAACGGAGAGAAGATTTTTTCAACACATTTCTAAACATAATAGTTTTAATAACTCATTTCTAATAACTGATTTATTTTATCTTTGCCATGATGACAGTAAATAATAATTGACTAGATACTTTTCAAGACACTCCTTTAAAGCTTAAAGTGACATTTAAACTAGGTTAATAAGGTTAACTAGGCAGGTTAGGGTAATTATTAAGTTATTGTATAATGATGATTTGTTCTGTAGACTATAAAAAAAATACCTTAAAGGGGCTAATAATTTTGACCTTAATGGTTTTTAAAAAAGTAAAAACTGCTTTTATTCTAGCCAAAACAAAACAAATAAGACTTTCTCTAAAAGAAAAAAAATTATCAGACATACTGTAAAAATATCCTTGCCCTGTTAAACATCATTTGGGAAATATTTAAAAAAGAAACAAATTTCAAAGGGAGTTAAATATTTCTGATTTCAACTGTAATTGCACAAATATTGTCTCGCTTATTAAACATATGGATTTAAAAGGGTGTACTTGTATATGCTGAGGACTGTATCTCATAATGTCACATTGTTACATTAAACCTACAACTGCAAAATTTTCCTCACTGCAGGAATTTAATGTTTCTCATTTGTGACTTTATATCTTGCAGATTTCTCCAACAACGTTACATTAAAATTAGCAAGATATTCTTGCAGATGTACATATTCCAATGGTAAGATCAGATTCTCGCAATTGTGACTTTGTTTCCGAATGTAACTGTGTTTAAGTGTAACATTTAAACACCAAGTAAAAAAAATTAATTAATTAAAATAAATAAATAAATTCAGTTGCAACTTCTCATTTCACAAGGACTTCAAACCTCACAATTGCCACCTTGTTACATTAGATCTTTCATCTTCAATGTTTTCTTTACAATTGCAACTTCTTAATTTCCAATATATACAGTATGTCTCCATTCCAAGGCCCTAAAATACATCAAGTGAACCTAAAAATCAAACTGTCGCAGTGTCATTTTGAACAAAGTCAGGCCAAAAAATGTAGTTTGTTACAGCAGTTTGAAATGTATAAATATGTTGAATAATTTAATTTGCATTTAAACAAAAATGCTCAGCCATAAAGTGGTAAGTTTAAATTACACATTTGAAATTACCATTTGAAATCTTATTCAAATAAACTTACCACGTTAATGCGTTCATTAGGCAGCACTATTAATAATAACATACTCAATATAATAAACAGAATTATTAGATCGCATTCTTCAAATAAACATAAAAGAAGGTAGCACAAGGGAGACAGACGGCAAAATCTAAATTAGCAATGTACCATCAGCTAGCTATTATTTATATTCTCATATATTTATATATAGGTGTAAGTAATGCTGCATGTCTGCTACATTCTTGTCTTATAAGGTGCAAAATGTGATACTTAGAGCAAAATCGGACTATTTTTACACACCTAATATAAACTTAGACGTGTAAGAAATCTAATAAATTGCTAAATAATATTGTGTAATTGTTTCTGAAACACTCTGTGTAGCTTTATACGATTGTTTTTCTTTGTTTCTTATTTGCTATAATGACATGTAAGTTTGTTGTACATAAAGGTAACATGATTGCTGCAGAAGATTATTGTCGTCTTACTTCAGTTGCAAAATAAAGGTATGGAAGAAGCTGGTCTGAATTTAGTATTTCAACTTCTCTCATTTAAAAAACAAGAGTGAAGTAAACAGCATGCAGGGTGTAAAAAGAAATTAAAAAGATGAAGCAAAACTAACCTGTTAAAATGATTTCCATGATTCAAGGTGTGACTGAAGTGTGTGCGGGTGTTTCGTTTGGATTAATCACAGCACTGAAGCCACATGCGTATTTCAAAACAGAAAAGTGAGCAAATTAAATATGAAGCAAATGAGGAAAAATTAAAGAAAGATATTAAATAATGATGTGATTTTATAAAAGCGCAAAAACAAATGGACGGCGATTACAACCTTCGTCCCTGCGAGCTGCTGATCTGTTCCTTCAGAGAAATGGCTTGCCGGAGCAGACCGTCTATGTTCTTGAAATAGAGACTACTGTTTGTCATACTTTTAACCGCACTGAAAAAAACAACAACAAAGAGAAACGGTCATGAGGTATGGTGAAGTTTTACGGGATTTAAATCAGTAGTATGATACTTCACGTAATGCATATCTTACCTGCATGCATATTCGACTGTGTAAATTGCTCCTTGACTCTGTTCCTCCCAGCTCTGCATGTCTGTCTATGAATTTAAATGATGTTAAAGTAAAACTTTTACTCATCAGGTTTTAACTATGAAGATATATATATATATATATATATATATATATATATATATATATATGTATATATATATATATATATATATATATATATGTGTGTGTGTGTGTGTGTGTGTGTGTGTGCTAAAATTACTTAAAAATTTTTGTACGCATGTATGTATATCCCCGAGGTATAATAATAATAATAATAATAAAACACATTTAGAAAAATGCATTTTAATAACAATTCTGACTTCAACTGTATACATAATAATAATAATAATACATATAAAAATGCATGTTGTTTCTTATATCCAAAGCAATACTCTAATTACAAACATAAATACAAGACAATACATTTAAATGTGTCATTTAAATATTTGTTTATCTGACCGATTTGTTTATCTGACCAATTTTTGTTGCTAATTTAAATGTCTTCAAGGTAATGTTATAATGTTATATAGCAGGCTGACATCTTAATAAGCTAATAATAATCTGCATTTTAACAATATTTAAAAAAAACTTAGAGACAAAATGTTGTAAATGTTTGTAACATGTTATGTGATTTTTCAGGATGACAAAATGTTTCATCTGCATAATGTATTATTATTTCTAGCTCTAACATAAATATAAATACACAAAATAAAACAAACATCTGTTAAGTATTATTTATTGTAGATGTAAATATAATTTAAAATGCCACCAAAATAATCTAGCTAACATAATAAAAAATATATAATCTCACTAAATGTTTCAGTAAATAAATTAAATGCATGTTTCTCATACCAAAATTTAAAAAAGGATTTGTTATTTTATTTACTTTTTTGTTGCTAACTAAATTTTCATTAGATTAATTATTTGGGGAAATAGTTCAAAAGATAATGGTTAGTTTTATATTCGCACATTCATTCAGTGACATCTTGTGACACGGTGTATTGATATTTACCATGGTACTTTGAATATTTGGTCTGAAATCACATGCAAGAATGACTTTTAAAAACAACATTAGCACTATGTGTTTGACTGAACAATATTTGATAGTCATTGGCAGCAAATATGAATTAACAATTTAGAATTAGCAAAGAGAATATTTCTGAACTGATATTGTGAAGGAGAAAGTCTGAATATGTGAATATAAAACCAACTTTACCTCAGTCAAACGAACTAGTGTCTGATCAAATGTGCTTTCTGTAACCCAGAAATAAAAGCTAATCAGTATCAAAGAAAAGTGCTGAAATAACGTACCTTATGTTGCACGAGCTCTGGCAAGGATCTCCTGACATGTTCTTGTAACCTATAAAGGGCTATTGACGGTTCATTGGCTAAAACATACATACTCTCCGTGAATTTATCAGTCACTGCAGCAGAGATAAACAAAACACGTCATTAGTGTATTTCCCTCAAGTTCACAACAAACCAGCATGACGACAAACGCACAATTAAACAGTCTAATAGATGCAATGATGTAAATTAAATCTTTAAAACGATGAAGACAAAAGTACAGCAAGTCATTGTTGACCAACACGAATCAATAGGCATACAGATTTCGAATCTATCAGCGGTACCTCTTTTTACTTTCAACTGCATTTCTTGATCCTCCATTATTATTTAAAAATAAATAAATAAACGCCTGATACGACTTTGCTTCTGTAATATCAAAACACTACTGATTTCCCTAAGATTGTGCTCCCAAGAAATCATCCGGATGAACACAAGCTCAATAAATAGTTCCTAGCCTTTAGTTCTGAGGGGTTATGATTCATCTGAGTGATTCGAATCGTTTGAATCGGTTCACCAAAAAGATTTTTTTTTACTTGTTTCAAAAACAGTTAACAATAGCATGCAGAAACTTAGACCTTTAGAAAAAGACGGAGATGTTGTTACAATCTGCATAATACATTTTAAGAGGGGAGGAAAAAAATAAATATAAAGGAAACAAAAACAAAACAGAGAAGAGAGGGAAAAAAATCATTGAAAACAAAGACATTGAATGTAATTTTTGACTTTTAAAAGACTTTTTTGTTTTAACGCCCATTTAAGACACAATTTATGACTATATGTCTACGGATTTTTTCCAAAAATGTACACTTGTGAATAAAAAAAAATACTCATTATAATAAAAAGATTAACAATGTACTGAATGCAAGATTTAGAGTTGTAATAAACCAAAATTATTTCAAAAGTATTTAAAAAAATGTTAACCTTTGTCTTTTCTGAGAGATTGATACATAGTTCCGTCCAAAATTGTTTCACAAGCACATTCACAAAAAAGATGAACAATGGTTTGATTTACCAAAAATATTGAGTTACTGAATTATTCAGACTTCTGTACACTGTAAAACCCAACAGTCAACTTTATCAAATGAAATGTGTGTTGTTAACTCAACTTACTGAAAGTTAATTCTACTCATTTGAATTCAAACCAACTGAGTACTGTAAATCCTGATAAGTTAATGCAGCTCAAACCACTTGAGATAAAAAAAAAGTACTGTAAACTTAGGGCTGCACGGTGGCTCAGTGGGTAGCACATTTGCCTCACAGCAAGAAGAGCTGAAAAGAAAATGAATTAATTAATGAACAAATGCTGTGAACTTACTCCATTTAAGTTGAATTAATGAGGTATTTAATTAACTCATTACCTTCAACACTGAGTTCAAAACTCTTTTCAAATGAGTAGAATTAGCTACATTAGAATTAGTACATTTTGAGTTAACTACACTCATTGCATTTGATAGAATTGACTGTTGGGTTTTTGAAGTGTTTACAAGAACGTTGGGCTGGTTTCTTCTGAGGAAATTTTTAATTAATAAAAGTGAATGCTATAAATCTTTATAGGTTACATTCTTTATTCTGCTGATCACAAAGGACAATTTTTGAAGAAGGCTGAAAACCTGTAACCACTGAGGTAAAAAACAAATAGGCTATTATACAGGTTAACAGTTACAGCTTTTCAGCTGTTTTTTTTTTTCAATATTTTAGTTTGTGTTCAACAACTTTAACAACAAAACAAAAACAAATTATTAAATGGATAGTTTTTAAGGTGACCAGACAATACAAAAGTCTATTCTAACAACAAGAAAAACTGCCAAATTATAAATAAAGGGGCGCACTGACTCGGTTCATCCAACCAATAATAATTTTCATCCCAACTTGCTCTCAAATGCTATAGGTTCCAGCTCTATTCAGTAAAGATAAGAAAACAGTCACGCGCTTGAAAGAGTCATGGAAGTGAACAAGAACGATTCTTTAGTTCAAAGATTCGTTCAAACCCCCCCGACTCGCTTCAGAAAACCTCTTCCAGATTCTGTTCCAACTCTAATTTTTAAGACGGATGCGAATCATTCACAATCAAAAGTGCTATATCTATCATCAAAAAGTATTGTGAGCATTCGATATCATTCTTTAGACATCGAGGTTGCGTGTGTGTTGAACTGCCATTAAGTCTCCTATTTCAGTTTCACTTTTGCAAACGAATCAGGAAATAAAAGCAGCATGTATGATCCTACAAGCCTGTGAAGTTTAAGATATTATTTCCACATAAAGTGTTAGAAATCCAAGGTAAGACACTATAATTTTACATTAGAACTGCATATAAAATTGTTACTAAACTTGTTTGTTAAAGATATTTTTCAGCATTGCGTACATTTAAAGCAGGTGTAATGATCAGTGATTATGGAAAACCGTCATGACGAAAATGCTGCGAACCACTCGACCACTCTGACGAATAAACAGCGCGGGAATGAGGTCACAGTTCGACCGGCCACTTTAGACAGTGAGTCTGTCACTTTCTACCGTGCATATGGAAGGCAGATTTGAAATAAATCGTCCTTTAAAAGTAAATATGTGATGTAATTGAAGGTAATAATGAGTTTTCATTTTGTCTTGTGTTTAGACCTCTCAATTCATCAACTCGCAGCCCATGGAGAGATTCCACAACTGGAGATACATTTATCCAAAGGTATCCAATACTAATACCAATATCAGTAAATAAATGGTATTATCCAACACTTGCAATATAGTGTGTGTTTGGTGATCTCATACTTGAACAGATAAATAAATCAGTATAGAACAATTTCTGAAACAGTAATAAATGAACATCCAAATGTTTATTCAACATTTGCTGAAATAAATACTGTTGAAATAACCCAAATATAAGGATATGCATAGAAATTAATCGCACAAAGTTCTCTGCTCAACAGTTAAGATGAGGAATAACTAAATATATACCCAACACCTGCTGAACAAAATTAGTTAAAGAAGCTAACTTTAAACGCTCAAAAATTACATTCTTGAGGTGCAACCCTGGTAGAACCCTGGTGCAACAACAATAATGCTTCTATATATAACCCTTCAAGAGCAAAAACCCTTTTTTGATTAAAATAGTTCTATAACTACACTCACCGGCCACTTTATTAGGTACACCTTACTATTACCGAGTAGGACCCCGTTTTGCCTTCAGAACTGCCTTAATCCTTCGTAGCATAGATTCAACAAGGGAGATTTTAGTCCATATTGACATAATAGCCTCATGCAGTTGCTGCAGATCTGTCGGCTGCACATCCATGATGCAAATTTCCCGTTTAACCACATTCCAAGGGTGCTCTATTGGATTGACATATGGTAATTGTGGAGGCCATTTGAGTACAGTGAACTCATTGTCATCAGTCTGATGAGTTGCGCTTTATGACATGGCGCCTAATCCTGCTGAAAGTAGCCATCAGAAGAAGGGTACACTGGTCATAAAGGGATGGACATGGTCGGCAACATTACTCAGGTAGGCTGTGGCGCTGACACGATGCTCAAGTGGTACTGATGGGCCAAAAGTGTGCCAATGTCCCCCACACCATTACACCACCACCATCAGCCAGAACCGTTGATACAAGGCAAGATGGATCCATACTTAGAGATGGTTGTGTGTGAAAATCCCAGATTAGCAGTTTCTGAAATACTCAAACGTTCATGCCAATGTTCATGTCACAAAATCAAAGTCACTCAAATCACCTTTCCTCCCCTTATTCTGATGCTCAGTTTGAACTGCAGCAGATCGTCTTGACCATGTCTAAATGCCTAATGCATTGAATTGCTGCCTTGTGATTGGCTGATTAGAAATTTGTGTTACGAGCAGTTGGACAGGTGTACCTAATAAAGTGGCCAGTGAATGTATATGTAATATCAAGTGCATAAAGAAATAAAGTGCGGATATCCAACAACACTTTCTAAAATGAATCAGTGAATATATAAAAATACTTAAAATATGATTATCTTGCAGACAATTCTCTACTTAACAATCAAGATGAAAGAGGTTTTACACCACTGATGTGGGCTGCTGCATTTGGAGAGATAACGATGGTGGAGTTTCTCCTTCAGAAGGTGAGAATGACACATTTTTACACACTGTGACAAGACAATATATTTGATTTTCAGAATGCATCGACATTCCCTCTTGAATCGACTCAGAGCTTAGTTTTTACCAGCAGATGGCGCTGTGTGTACTCCGCTTGCATCAAATTCCTTACAAATACCACGTGAACCTGAAATAATCATGATTAAATTTAAGTTTTAAGCGAATTACAAGAGTATTCATAGTGAGCTGTGTTTACATAAATTTTATAACATAAAAGCCTAGCTTAGAGCGCCATCTGCTGTTAAATCTAAGCTTCCAATCGATTCAATAAAGAATTGACACAGAAAGATTTGTAATTTTTCACCACATCTCTACATTGTTATATTATTATAGGGAGCAGATCCAAAAACACTTGCTAGAGAAAGGGAAAGTGCCCTGTCTCTGGCCAGCGCAGGAGGATTTGCAGATATCGTTAATATTCTTTTACAGCATGGTGTTGATATTGATTCCTATGACTGGGTAAGGGTGATTTAATTAATTCTAACTTTAAGATGCAACAGAAAACGTTGACATGTTAAAAAAGTCCTAATCATGCCATTAATTTAAAAAACAGAATGGTGGGACCCCACTTCTGTACGCAGTTCGTGGCAATCATATGAAATGTGTCGAAGCCCTGTTACGTAAGTATTATTATTATTATTATTATTATTTTGGACTCTTTGTGATGACAAACTCAAGTAAGCTGTGTGTTTAGGATGTGGAGCAGATATTACATTTGAAGCAGACTCTGGATACAGTCCTGTTGCTCTCGCTGTTGCTTTGGGCCACAAAAAAGGCAAGAATCATTGTTTTTAAAGTACAGTGCATCCGCAAAGTATTCATAGCCTTTGACTTTTTCCACATTTATTTATTTTTTTGTTACAGCCTTATTCCAAAATGGATTAAATTCATACATTTCCTCAAAATTCTACACACAGTACCCCATAATGACAATGTGAAAATCTTTTTTTTATTATTGTTGCTAATTTATTAAAAACAAAACAAAAAAAAAAACTGAAAAATCACCTGTACTTAAGTTTTCACAGCCTTTGCAGTGAAGCTCTGAATTGAGCTCAGGTACATTCTGTTTCCACTCATCATTCTCGAGATGTTTCAGCACCTTAATTAGAGTTCACCTGTGGTAAATTCAGTTGATTGGACATGATTTGAAAAAGCACCTGTCTATATAAGGTTCCAGGGTTGATAGTGCATGTCAAAGCACAAACCAAGCATGAAGCAAAATAATTGTCTGTAGATCTCCGAAACAGGATTGTCTCAAGCAAAAGGCTGGCGAAAGTTACAGAAAAATTTTTGTTGCTCTGAAAGTTCCAATAAGCACAGTGGCCTCCATCATCCGTAAGTGGAAGATGTTTGGAACCACCAGGACTATTCCTAGAGTTGGCTGGTCATCAAAGCTGACTTAGTCAGGGACGTGATCAGTAACCGGATGGTCACTCTGTCTGAGCACCAGCGTTCTTCTATGGAGAGAGGAGAACCTTACACAAGGACAATCATCTGTGCAGCAATTCACCAATCATGCCTGTATGGTAGAGTGGCCAGACGTAAGCCACTCCCCACCTGGAATTTGCCAAAAAGGCATCTGAAGGACTCTCAGACCATAAGAAACTAAATTCTCTGGTCTGATGAGACTAAAAATGAACTCTTTGGAGTGAATGCCAGACGTCGCGCTTGGAAAAAAACAATCACCGCTCATCACTAGGCTAATACCATCCCCTACAGTGAAGCATGGTGGTGGCAGCATCATGCTGTGAGGATGTTTTTCAGCAGCAGGAACTGCAAGACTAGTCAGGATAGAGGGAAAGATGAATGCAGCAATCTACAGAGACATCCTGAATGAAACCCTGCTTCAGAGTGCTCTTGACCCTAGACTGGGGTGACAGTTCATCTTCCAGCAGGACAAGGACCCAAAGCACACCGCCAAAATATAAATAGAGTGGCTTCACAACAACTCTGTGAATGTTCTTGAGTGGCCCAGCCAGAGCCCAGACCTAAATCCTATTGAACATCTCTGGAGAGATCTGAAAATGGCTGTACACCGTCACTTGCCATCCAACCGGATAGAGCTTGAGAGGTACTGCAAAGGGGAATGGGCAAAAATTCCCAAAGACTGGTGTGCCAAGCTTGTGGCATCATATTCAAAAAGGCTTGAGGCTGTAATTGCTGCCAAAGGTGCATCAACAAAGTATTGAGCAATGATACTTATGTACATGTGATTTTTCAGGTTTTTTATTTTTAATAAATTTGCAACAGTTTCAAAAAATCTTTTCACATTGTCATTATGGGGTATTGTGTGTAGAATGTTGAGGAAATAAATGAATTTAATCCATTTTGGAATAAGGCTGTAACATAAAAAAATGTAGAAAAAGTGAAGCGTTATGAATACTTTCCGGATTCACTGTACATTAATATACAAATAATAATATACAATCCATTGAATTTTATTAATAGTCTCTTTAATTTACTTGCAGTTCAAAAACTTCTTGAAGATCACATTCTGAAGCTGTTTCGGGGACCAGTTTCAGTGTCTGAAAACACATGAAGCACTTATGAGACCTTTTAATAACCCTGCGAACTATGTAGCTTTATTTTGCATGAAAGATGTAAAGAACATTGTTTTTCTACTTTTTTGTTTTTATTAAAAAACACTTTTACAAATGTGCAGTTATCATGTGTTGACCTAAAAAGGCACATAATCTGTAGAAACAAAGGAAATAAGATGCGATGGTTGTCCTCTGAGAAGGTTTGAAAAATTTCAAAGCCCAGAGGTGCAAACTTGAAGGGGGGAAAAAGCAGGTTGGCATTCCCGCCTATTCATACTTCCTCTCTGTCCTTTTCTCAAAACATTACAAATCCTTTTCCCCCAGGATATCCAATGTGTAAACAATTATTCTCCCAAAAAAGTCAGTACTGTTTTCAAACACTATTTTCAGCTTCTGCACCAAAGGGGCATCCGGAATGGGAAAACTGTGGGTGAAGAATCAAGGATAAACTTGGGATAAATGGAAGACATGGGCAGTTTGGCCGTTGACCTAGTAGTAAGTTTTTTTTCCACACACTATGCTGAAGTTCAAATGACCATCAGTCTGAGAGAATATGGTGATTTTATGCATTTACTGTATGTAAAACACGAAATAATGTCACACCATGTGGAAGGATATTTGTAGAGAGTTGTTGTCCTCTGGATAGAAGTTTAAAATATGTCTGAGATTCTCGTCTTTGGAAGAACCTGTAGAAGACAAACTATTTAAATTGCTTTTATCCCTGTGATCAGAACTGCAATTGATATGTTTAGTCTATTACAGTGATCAACAAGTCAGATGAATGATTGATTGAATGACTGGTAGGTTAAAGATTAGACAGCTTTGATTTATGTGGATTTATCATTTTATGAAGGTTTTGAATGGTCTTGGGTATAGAAATATTTTGAACAAAAGACTTACGGATTTGGAGTTGAATCTTTTAACGTGAACATTCGTTTTGCATACCAATGAATTAGCCTTTTGAATGGAACTATTTAATTGGCTCAAACTCATAAAGACAATCAGTACATCTAAAATCACATACTATCTGAGTAGGTACTTCATTATTTTAACTGTCATTAAATTTTTGAACTTACTTTAGGACCATTAATTAGTACTGAAATACCTGAGTCAATTACGTAATTTTTCTCCAATTCATACATCTTCTTGAACTGAAAGATTGATCAGTATGGATTCCATCAAATCCACATAATTCAGTCATTTAAGTACTTCTCACATACTTTTTTGGATTGCTATGAATTTGGACATGTACTCGCGTTCCCTATATAGTAGATAAGTGTGTAATTTTGGACAGCAATTGACATTTAAAAACAGTGAACCCTTATAAAATTAACTACGGCTTTCTATATACTAAACGCAAACAAACACTAAAATCACAGTAAACAATTGCTACACCCACCATATTTGTTGTAAAACTATAGCCTAGTTATATAAATAATAATACTAAACATTTACAATAATCAGAGCCGGCCCTACCCATAAGCAAACTAAGCGGCTGCTAGTGGTCCGAGCAGTTTGCTTGCTGAAATCCTTTTTAGTAACATTTTACAGATTATCTTCATTAACAGTGCTTTAGTACTTAAATATTTTTACATTTTCACTGAAAATAATAAAACATTTTTTTAAATCAAAGTTTCATTTCTCATATGCATTCTTGTGGCTCGAGTTTTTTCCTACAAGGTAATCTGTGAGACCAACCGGTCACCACAAGAACGCGAATCTGTGAAGGCATATACCGGATTTATTTTGGGAATTGGCCTGCGAAAATGAAATGAATCTAACATTATTTTTCAGGTGTAGTAAAACTTAAGGCAAAAATGACGACAAGTAGAGACAAGCACAAAATCATTTTTAGCCTCAGTTTTAAGTGCTAATGAGGATGTTAAAAACAATCTAGTAGCACATTTATTGAAAATAGTCAATTACAGATGAATAAACCTCTACCTATATGAAATATAAGTATCTTTCACTGACTGGTAATATTTTTCCCGAGACAGGTTTATAATAGTTATTTCCTAATTGAATTGAATCTTTTATAGATCCTAATCTGTTTACTAAATTAACAGAATATATTTTAAACACTCTAGAAGGACGCAAAGTAGGAATCACTGGTCCCTTTATTAAAGATTGTTTAATCCTTTATTTATAAAGCTGCTAGTTAATAAAACCAGAGCCGTTTTAAAATGTTAAGTATTTATGTGTATAAAGCATCTGTTTTGTGAGCAGTGCTTTTCATATGATATGTGAACGACAGTACAGTGTTACTATGACATTTCCTCGAGTATAAATGACGTCTGGAACTTTCTGTCGTACACCACACCTATCAGAAGGGTACCTTTTGGCAGTAGAAACGCAAGCTTGATAAAGGTGACCCGTACCATACCTCTCAGTGGAAATGGGCCAATACACTAACTTTAAAGCCTCCTTTCCACTGCACACGACAAATGACAAGCGACAGACCGGAAGTCATTCATTTCCAATGGAGGGCAGTCCGGGAGCTGCGTTGAGTTCTGATCATCTCCGTATGCGGAAAATTTGAATCTGAACTGAGCTGTGGATCCGTTGAAATATTTGAACTCCTGCGACTAGACCGTATGCAACCTGCCGACCGGATATGATGCATTCCAGTGTTGTCCAAGCAGATCCATGCGCGCGAGATGAGAAATAAGAGTTTATTTAGTCTTTTTTTTTTGAATGATAAAAAGTCTATATTATAAAAAAAAACTTTTCTGTTCATTATTGTAAGTAAGAAAGTAATAAAAATATATATTTTTAATCTTGTCTCCACATTTCCTCCAATGTTTAACGGTTTATGAGTTTCTACTATTCATTCATCCATTAAACTATGTAAACGCACAGAGAATAAATGCTCTTGCTTTTGCCCTCCTTTATTTCGGACACCTTGAGAATCAGCTTCTCCCCCGTGGTGCACGACAACACTGAATATACTGTGCGGCTGCCACAAGGGGGCGTATTCCGACAGTCATGTCCCAATGTCGCGTGCAGTGGAAAGGCGGCTTAACCCCAACCTAAACGGCGTCACACACCAGATGCGCCGCGCACATGACAGTCGAAAGTATCGCACACCAGACACGCATATTCACATGCTATTTAAAATGAAATTAATCAGATAGCGCTCTGTGGTGCGGCAGAAATATGAACAGTGTCCTGAGTCGTGGCTGGGTGCTGTGGACACCCGCCGACTTGTGGCCCGTGTGCGTGTACCCTGATAGAAATCTATGTTTAGAATTCTAAAATGCATGGCGCTTCTGGTGTGTGATGCTCTTAACAGTCTACTTTTAATCTAATGAGATTACTTGCCATGTAGATGCAATGTAACCTAAATTCAACAAATGGACCTACAAAATAAAGTGTGGCTAAAATCAGGCTTTACTTTTTTGTTTCATTGATTGCATTTAATAAGCAATAAAATAAATGTGTGCTGGTTAGCAATGGCAATACTCCACTATTTAGAACAAGGTAGGGCCCTAAATTTATTCTGCTCTGGGCCACGAAAAGTACAGGGCCAGCCCTGACAATAATAATATTAATAATAATAATAACAACAAATGTAAACTTTTAGTAAAAGAAACTAAAAAGTATATAAAAACAAAGTATATAAAAATGTTCCAATATAAAATTACCCAACTACAAGTGGGCAGTAACCATTGAGGTGTTCATGTTGAAGTGATTTCCCGTCTCCATGGCAAAAGTAATTTCGCTAATTGGTTGGCATTATAGGAGGGAACTTTGCTAGACAATTCCGAAGTCAAACTAAAGCATAAGTGCTTCTACAAAAGCATGGCATCGCTCAACAACCACGAAACTCATGGTAGGTCTGTCTTTAAAGGTATCGCTAAAATCTGTTGTTCGTGCTGACTGACCTTCTAATTTGCAAGACTTTCCCGAAAACCCTCCTTGGAACTGTAGTCTGACCTCAGACACTTTCACATGCTGCGGAAACTCCAACAAAACCCACTGCGACTCACCCTATTAAACAGATAATGACAATTAAACAAACAAACAAACAAACAAACAAACACGGCAGTAAAAGCGTCTACAACCAGGCAACACTAATCGTAACACAATCTCTCGTCAGCAATACCTGGTCTGAATTCCAGCACGTCTCCTCATTGGAATCAAACATGAACTTCTTTCCGAACTGCTTGACATCTCTATTCAGCACAGAACTCACCCTGTATGACAGAGACATCATTTAAATGACGCATTGCTATAGTATACGTTGTGTTATACATAAAATATTAATATGATTATCATTAATACGATAGCAGAGGGACCAAAACACACGTTTTCTACCTGCTTTGCGTGCTGTTACAAATCAATGACTCTGCCATCTTCAAATCGACCTTTCAACTGTGGGCAAAATGAAGGCATGCGCGATTTCACGACAGTAAGGGCAGTGTGTTCACACATCTGCCACTAGATGGCAGTGTCACTCTTTAGTTGATAGTCATGAAAGGATGTGTGCAGAGTCTGCTGTTAAAGATGTAGGAAACCTACAACACCACTAAAATCTTTAAAATGATATACAGTAGATAACCACAGTGTTTTTTGGTGTTAATTACATAAATTGGGAATTCAAAATCAGGCCCTCAGCCTGGAGGGTACGGGTGGTTCAAAATACCAACCTCTCAGTTTCAGAATTTGTCCCATACACAATTTGTCCTATTTTGACTGCTGTTTCATAATAAATTGTAAAAATAACCACATTATTTGGCTGTTGCTTCAGTGTGACTGAGGAAAGTTGAATGTGCTGGCCTGGCCAGTTTGTATGTCCAATGACAATAGGCTACTTTTTAATTTAAAACTTGAGCAGCATCCTTTTTTTCTAATTTTATATGATGTAATAAATTTGTATTTGCAAAAATATGTATTATTCTGTTTTTTTTTTCTTTTCTAAATCTTTAGGAAATGCATTCGGTACATCAAAAAGTGTGGTTGATGACCATCTGACAAGCTAATCCAGCAACAACAAAAAAAATTGCTGCTTAAAAGGTATTTAAACCTCATAATTAAATAGAAAATGAGGCTAATAACTGCAAAAAGATCCATACTTTAAAAAAAGAAGAAAGAAAAAAGAACCACCCCTTTCAT